CGCACACACACACACACACACACACACACACACACACACACACACACACACACACACACACACTCACAGAGACACACACACACACACACACACGCACAGAGACACACACACACACAATTGACGCATCTCTATTGTCAAGCTCCTAATCAGGAGCTAGCTCAGACACCTGAGATTCAGACAGCCAGGCTCTGGTGAAAAGAAGATTGTTGGCTCCAGCTGTCGCATCCTGTAACATCTCGGGCGTGCATGCCTCCTCCCTTTTCTCGCAGCTCTGCGCACTCACTCCCAACACCTGCGGAGTGTCGCGTCCGCCCCCCGCAGGACTCACGTGTAATAATTGCCGAGTAGCCCCATGCCCCCCCGATGGCTTGCTTAAGAAGCACGGTGGCGTCGCGAGCGGCCAGCAAATGTGCCGAGCGCAAGAGCCGAGCCGAGCTTTCCCACCAGAGCCCCCTCTCTTGGAGGGCAGGGGCCTCCGGGCACGGGTGGCGCCCTGAAGCGGCGGCAACCGCAGGTTGGATGCGGGCATCCGCGAGCTGCGCCACAGGCCTCGTGGCGACGCATGCATCGGCGGCACCCCAACATATTTATACTATACGTGCGTCGTCCCCCCAGGGGCGACGCGCGCACCGAGAAACCTAGTATATGCGTCGTGGCGGGCGCTTTCTGACCACACCGTTCGGGAAACACTATACTACAAGATGGGTATGCTATATGTTCGGGTCGGGCGCGCGCCTCCAAGGAAGACAGACAGCATTAGTCCCAATGCAGGCGAAACGACACCGAGTTTGGTCTCGATGCCAGGTCGCTCAGCGACGACAGGCGGACCCCTGAAAGCCCATCCCCCTTCTTTGACCCAGGCGACGGCGTCAGAGATTGGCACCCCTGCTCCATTCAAGTCTGAGAAGCGGCGTCAGCAGCACCTCTAAATGATGTGGGTAGCAGCTCCAGCGTGACAGCGACCGACTGTCTCTTTTGCAGTTGGTCCTGGGCACCGTGGCTTGCCGCCATTCTGCCGCGTGCCCGCGCAGCGTCATGCTTGCAATCCCAAGTGGACCTCTAGCACGAGTGAGCCCCCACGCCAACTCCTCTCCTTTCACCCCCCCTCCCCGGAATCGACGCTCCACTGGTTGTGGCAGCAGCTGGCGGGCGCTGGCGGGCCACTTAACATTGGCTGAACGCACTTATGTCGCCTCACATATGTGACAGGTGGAATCACATCGATTGCCATTGAACGCGTCTTGCGTCCAGATGTTTGAGCTGAAACGTTCTTTCAACGGGAAGACCGTTGGTGCATCTTGCGCTTGTGCGTTGCACGAGTGGCGCGGGCCCTGGGGTGCGCGGTTGCGCTTGCCAGCCCTAAATTCAACCCCCAAAGTTGCAACTGAGTATTCCCCGTCGCCCCCGTAAACCTTACTTGCAGCTTGCTCGGCAACCTCCAGAGCCCCGTTGGAGGACGCTACCATGCAATTTGGTTGTTCTGCAAAGGGCAGGCCGAGCTTCCGCGCAATTCTATGACCAATAGCGTTGAGACCCCCTCAGCCACGTCCCTGGTCAATGGCACCACATCCGCCCCCCACGCACGGCGGGTTACGTCGCCAACGCGCAACGACGCCAAAGCATCTTGAGGCAAGTTTCCCGGATATTGATCCAGAGATGGTTTTACGTAGCTCCACTGTAGCAGGGGTGGACTTTGCGACAATCCCCCTACGAGGGTGGATGCCAGGCAACAGGACTCCGTCATACAACAGGTATCTCGGCCACCTATACATGTTGATATTGGTAAGCGACTTAGCTATGGGGCACTCCGATTTCGAAGCGCTCGAAAGAAGGAGGGAGTCGGGGAAATGTTCGTAGACTTGCAACAGATCCCACAGCACCGCAACAGATCGCAACTTGCGATGGTTGGCACCTTCTGCGAGGGCCGCTCGTCGCCGAACGGTGTCTGCCGGACTGCGATGCTGAGCGCGCGAATACTCAGGTCCACCCCCATCTCTCCCACCCCCGAAGCTCATCCTTTCCCAACTTGCTGCGCAGACGAATTACCGAGGGGCGGTGACGCAGAGGGCGCCGACCTCCCGAGGCCTCATGCGCACGCGGCACCAACAGGCGCCGAAGTTTATACGGCACGCAGCCAGCTAGGTCCATGACGTGAAAGATCTCCGCAAGGCGTGGGCGTCGGCCGTCTGACTCGAATGTGTCCTTGCCCAGCATTTTACTGATAGAAAGCCTTGCCTCGGCAGAAGTGGCAGCGCGGCTAGGGGGCAGGCAGCGGCCGGGTTCCCAGGGCTCTCGGGCTGGAGCCGGCCATTCAGGAAAGCGCCCATGTGTTTCTTCTTGCTGCACCCAACAGACAAGCGAGGAGCGGTCGAGGGCAGCTCCTGGGGGGCCAGGGCCCGGAACATCCACCGGGGCAGGCGTGACCCTTGAATAGCCATGGGCTTGGCGGGCCCCCATTTTTAATGCATCTGCACACCAGTCCGCCCATTCTGCGCGGCGAATCTGCGAAGCTGAGCACAGCGTGCGAACGCGCGTACATTTTGGGCAAGCTTACTGATCTGATGCAAAAGACGCTCGGTGCGTGGGTTCGGCGCCTGCGCGGGCGCCCCAGCCATCGCGGAATGGGGCGCCAACGGTTGCCCCGTTCGACCAGATTCGGCAGAACGGGCCGCCGAGCAGCAGGGCCCAGAGAAATTAAACAGAGAGCTTCGCGAGGTCAGCGCGGCCCCCGCACTTGGAAACCTTGGACAAGCGGTTCAACATGATCAACCTGCCGAATAACCCAGTTTAAAGCTACGTTCTAGCACGAAACACATCTTGGAGCGGAACCGACTCCAATCGGAAGTCCGTTCAGGCAAGCAGGCCAGTTTTGTCAGGATTGACGCCCGTCACCTGGCGCAGCGTAGACCTCGTCAAGCACCTGGATGGCCTGCTGCCTGAGGTCACCTTGCAACGTGCACTCGTCGCCTGTGCCGCCCAAAGGCGCCAAGGAGCTGTCGACCACGGTCCTGATGTGTTCGCACTGCGGAGGTTCTGGCATTGGCCCACGGACACTTTGCATAGCACTGACGTCCACGATAGGGTCGAACGCTCTTTTGCCATGAAAAATCCATCGTAGAGCTTTGCCCATCCAGTGAGTGCAACGGCACCAGCTCGTCCGCACGCGTGGCTCCGCGAAGCTGGGTCAACGGTACATGACCGTTAATTTCCCCAGGCGAGTTGTTGAAGTCACCCCCAGAAATTATTGGAAGTTGGACAGCGTAAGTCTCATTGTCCGCAATCTGGACGGTCTTGAGGTTCCTCGGTATAAAACCTTCCCCAGTATAGAGGTAGCACGTCATCAACGCAAGCTCTCCGGCGTCACGTAGGCGAAGGTGACTTTTAGCTGCCCTTTTTATAGTTCACCACCATCAGTAGCCCACGAGTTGAAGGATGGTTTCGTAAGGGCACTCGCTCCAGGTGAAGCACGCCCTCTTACCAGTAACACAGCAAGGTCCTCCATGCGATCGCCAGCCAGCATACCGGAGTTTGGCCATTACATCGACGCGCCTGTTCTGTTTAAGTCGATGTATTTGAACCATGATCACATGACTGAGGGATCCAGGATAGTGTCGATCGCGGCCCAACTCGAGCCATTAATGGTGACGACCCGCGAACTGTTTTCCTGCAACGTAATCTCCGTCCATTCCGGCGGCGATGCCTCGTCGAAATTAGACGCGGGACAGCCTTCACCTGCGAAACAGAAGGACCGGAAGTATCCCTCTGGGTCGAAGTAGATCTAGTTTGGGTTGGAGATGACCCCATCCCTCGGCTGTCCCAGACCAGATGTGGCGGTAGTGAACTCACCCTTGGCACACCCAGGGTCGAGTTCGATCTGGCGCACCATCTCTACTTTCCCTGCGCCAGGGCAGCGCCGCCTGATCGGTTGCCGCTGCAAGCGGGGCG